AGCACGCCGGGTTCTCACCGGACCAGGCTCTCACATCACCAAGCGCGAAGCGCCGTGAGGTATTCGGCGAGTCGCATGAAGGGTACGCTGCATCCTGCTAAGGGTGTTCGGCATCTTGTGCTCACTCCCTTGCGTACGGATGACCGCCGCGTATGACTTCATTTATTTTCTGGTGCTTTCACTTCCGGAGACAGTTGTAAGCACTGTGAGACTGCCTCGAGGGTGCTTGACAATTTGAACACAACGTGGTGCGATCATCGAGGGGGGGGGGGGTGTTTTGTCATCTTTGCCCGCCTTCGGACAAAAACGGAACGTTTACCTCGTCTGTACAACCCAAGCGTCATGGTCGGAAGTCATGCGTGTCTAGGTTGCAGACGTACGGGCCATACGTCTCTTACTTTGATGGAACGAGCGTGAATGCCATCGAGATCCTCGCGGCATAAGAATCCATGCTGCCCACCAAGAATGAACCTGGCAACACAACCAACCGTCGTCTTAAGAGCAGAAGAACGCTGCCAAAAACGCGGGGAGAACGCGCATCGGCGCTGCTCTGTTCATCATTCGGTATAAGGTCCATCCTACTAGCCCGGCCGGCGCGTTAGGTTAGCCCAATCAACCCACGGCATGTCTGGTTTGGCACAGCCGGATGATGATCTGCTTCTGGGTCGTCCTGGCGAAACGTAGCCCGGGCCGGCGACAACCCGGCACATCGCTCCGTCTCGGCATTGCAAGGGACGCGAGGTGTATGGCCAGGGAGGTCAACAATGACCGAGGCCTGCGCTATTTTTCATGAAGACACTCCGCTACGGCAGGCCTTTTCATGAATACATCCCACTTACACAAGGCTCCACCGTCTTCTGAGGCGCCGTTGCTCTCGAACAAGCAGTCCAGAAACTTCACCGTCGTGCTAGGGCCCCCCTCGCCATCGTCGTCGGCGCCATCGGATTCCGCCGCAAGCAGTGACGTCACCGTAGTGCCGCCCCCCGCGGTTGTGGTGAGAGAAGGCGTCAGGTTTTCCGGGTCGTAGCCGCTGCTGCTCGTCAAGATGGCGATCTCCCGGGATTCCGACGTCGAACCGGAAGCCGAGGATAAGGACGAGGAGGAGGCCGAGCCGCCGGAGGAGAACAGCGCCACGGCGCCGCCCCAGAGAGCGGAGTTGCGCGTAAAGTTGGCGTTCTTGAAGGTCGCCTGTTGGAAGGTTTCGTTTTCAACACCCACTGATCAGAAACCATCTGTGTGTTTCATCGCGCTACAGGACGGATGACTTTTCATTGGTCAGTCGGTTAGCGCGATCGCTGCGCAACATATGAAGAACATACACACGAGCAATACCCTCACGGGGTCCCAGATCGTGGCCTTGAGAAGCATTTGTGATTTCAACCGCACCGAGACTGACGTGTTTCCCATTGGTTAGCTGGTTAGCGCGGTCGATGCTCACATGAAAAACACACAAAACGCCCAAAACACCAGTCTCTTCAACATGCGGTCGCCGCACCTGAGGAACGCTGGAACAGAAAATAGCGCCCCCAGACCCGTCAGGGGCAGAGTTGTCGTGGAAGGCCGACTGGCCGGTGATACTCACCGATGCCGCGAATGAGAGGCGGATTGCACCTGATGTCAAGACAGGAGGGGGCGCCGGGGCGTAATCGCTTGTGTTTTTGCATGCCCTATTGTTGTTAGGCGCCGGCGGGGCGTTGGGAGCGCGACGTCTAGCGATGAGGGTCGGGGTGGCACCAGGCGGGGAAGGTGCAAACCGTTTCTCTTGCCCCACTTGTCAGTGGGTTTCGCATAGCTTCATACTTCCAACGCCCGTACGACTCTTCTCCATCAATAACAACACCACCAGAACTGCCAAAACGACAACGGCGGGCTGCGCAAATACACCGGCACACCTCCGTTGCTCGCGGCCGAGTTGTTCTCGTAGAGCTGGGTGCCGGACAGGGCGACGGTGACGCCGGTGGCGGCGTACACTGCACCTGTTCGGCGAAGAATCGAGCCAAAACGCCGGACAGCAGAAGGAAAACGGGTGCACGAAATGAGATTACGCACATGTAAGATGCGTGAAGGAAAAGCTGGTCGCGTGCCAAGGACATGGTAAACACTAATCGACGAGGTGCTCGTTGGAGCCGATTCTACCGTTGTCAGTAAAACTCATGTTGCCTAGCTGCTGCTGCTGCTGCTGCTGCTGCTGCTGCTGCTGCTGCTGCTGCTGCTGCTGCTGCTGCTGCTGCTGCTGCAAATACTATTGGCTGTTGTTGTGTAAGCCCCTCTTTTGCATCATCGCATCAGCCACACGGGAGAAGGGGCGATTCGGACGGGTCTTGAATTTCACGGTGCCCCTGGAGTGGCATGCGACTTTCATGCACCGAAGCATGCTCGTACACGGTTCGTATCATGGCAAAATTAGGGTCGCCTTATCTGCAGGACGGTAGTAGTTACGAACTACCAACGGAGCATCTTCGATGACGTCTTTCAGTTTCGTCACCTCCTTCTTCCGCCGTATTGCCGACGAACGAAGTTTCGCCCACCGTCGTGATGATGACGTCATCGTGCGCATTGATCGCCCCTAGCAACAACCACGGGGGCAAACACGGGACCGAGCGAACACGATCAAGAGCCAATCGAAAATGTGGATCGACGAAGACGGAGGGGGGGGGGGCACAGCACTGGGGGGCCTCTCGTCATTCTTTACAGGGGTGTGGCGGGACCACCTACTATAGTGTTCATTGCTGGTTTNGGGGGGGGGGGGGTCACAGCACTGGGGTGCCTCTCGTCATTCTTTACAGGGGTGTGGCGGGACCACCTACTATAGTGTTCATTGCTGGTTTGATGATGGGTTCAAAATAATTGGCCTGGCAACCGGTGAGTCTTGATGCTACCGGGTGGGGCATGGAGGGGAACGTGGCATGGGACATGGAACGCTTGATACGTGTTTCCAAGATGACAACAACGATGACGACGACAATAACAGGTAGAAGAACAAGATCAGCAACAGCAACAGCAACAGCAACAGCAATAGCGACAGCGACAGCAGTAACAACAAGCGGGCTAGAGCAACAGAGCCACCGAGGAGACGAAACAAGGTAGCAGCGATGAGGGTGATGGTACCTCCGAAGTTGCCCACGGTGTTGTTGGAAAACGAGGTCCGCCCCGCAATCTGAACTCTGCAAGAAAACTCCGATTGGATAGCGCCTGGCGAATTCGTGCAAGGGAACATGGTCGGTGGTGGCAGAGACAGCGCGAACAGACAACCACAATGAAATTTCATCAACACAGGGCAGGGTTGTGGGATAGCATAAATAAGCGGCGCAGATATCGTCGTTCGCTGCAGCTTGATGCGGGAACTGGCTAGTGCTTGCTGTACGGAATGGGCCCAAAGTGGAGATTGGATATTACCACCAAGAGAGAGAAGAGGCGTGCAATCTCATCAATTCCCGTAGGTGTGACTCGATGGTGACGATTCACGCATGTGACATCCATATGGATGTTTCTCACACGTCGCGACGTTTCACACATGTGATCTTCGTAGAGGATTTCCACATCGAGTTTCATATGGAAGTTTCACAAGTACGATGTTCATCGGGATGTTTCACACACGTGCCGATGTTCACATATGCAATCTTCATGGGGACGTTTCACACATGTATCTCTCCGGAGAGCGTTTCACAAATTTAATGGCCACACGGACGGTTCACACACAAATATTCATCGGGAATGTATGCACGACCGATCTTCAGTACGAGTGCCTGGATATTGATTGCATTGGGGGTGTTACGCAGAAGATCGTACGTGTTACAGATGATAGCCTTCACTTGGGGTACTGTGCTAAAAAAACTACAAACAACGGCGACGAAAATACACACCTCCGTCGTTGTACGCAAAGTTGTTGGAGAAGGTCGTGTTGCCTCGGGTGCGCACCGCTGCGCCCTCCGTCACCATTACAGCACCTTTTCGGTACAGAGGAAAAACGAGAGGGGTGGGTCAGAACTTGGCAACACCGCATGTATCCGCAGGTAGGAGTGAAAGCCTTGTCTCGGGCTGCAAAGCGGTGTTCGCCAATGCTTACAATATGTCAAAGACACACGACTAATGAGGGGGGCGTATTCATGATTGCACGCCCTAGTTGCTATATCATTGACCATGGGGAGGTTTCAAGCAATAGCCAAAGAGACCGTTGACCCCGCATTCCTAAAATGCCGCGACCGAGCGACATGCTGGGTGTTCGCTGGCCCAGGCATGTTTCACAAGGATGATCCCGAAATTGTTCATCATCCTTGCGTATGCTCTGCCAAATCAGATTTGCCATAGGCTGATTCGGTATCTGGGCAAAGCAAACGTTTCACACTCGGCCGGGGTCGGAGAAGGCAAATATACTAATGAACGTAACCAATGAACCAGCATACGAGCGTTGAACCTCCGAGTACATTTATTCTTTGGCTTTGGGGAAGGTCTATCACTCGCATACATCAGACAGCGAACCCCTGAAATACTTCAACCCTTGCCGCCGTAACGCTAGGGGCGTTTCGCTTGGGGACCTTGTCCGCCGTAGCTTCGTCACAGCCAGCGCCGCGCATCAATCTCCAACGAATATGTCGACGCCACGATAGCACAACCGCAAGGGCGATCCCCAAGACATGTTTAACACCCTTGCCGTCGTTATTAAAACTCAGGCGGTCCATCCCACTCGAACCTCACCGCCGTAGTTCTGCGAGGTGTTTTCGATGAAAGAAGTGGCCCCGGTAATGACCACCTCCGACCCGTTGAAGGCCCACACGGCGCCCCCGCTGTTCCCCGCCTCGTTGCCGATGAACCACGTAGCCCCCACCGTCCGCACGGTGCAATCCCGCTCCAGATGAACGGCACCTGCATCACGGATAGGCACGAAATGGATGCGACAAACTCGGGCGGTTACCTCTATACGACAGGGATTCTTGTTTGGCCATGGGGGTTGTTTTCTTGTTGGTGGACCGGTGCTGCGCAACGGTATCCTTCATTCAGCGACAACAAAAAGTAGACCGGCAGGAATGACACGTCAGAAAACACAGCACGCGTTAGATCTTCCCACCTCCTTCAAGCTGCGCGGTGTTGCTCGAGAAAGAATGAAGCCACAGTAACTCGGACCACTACACAATTACCTCTATTGGTTGCCTCAAAACAAGGGACGGTTGCCCACAACAAGAGTTCGTAAAATATCTACGAAAGCGGCGCGTTCCCCAGCAGCTGGGAGCCGGCGAGGAGCCACAACATTTTCGAAATTAGACTTGGAGAACGCAAGCAAGTGCCACTGTTAAGAAAATGGTACCATCTGGTGAAAATTGCTGCAAGGGCTCGATCGAGGGGTTAGAGCTTCCTTGATCTCACCTCCTTCAAACTGTGCGGAGTTGCTAGACAGAGACACGAACCCGTCCCCGAAGGTCACGTCGGAGTTGTCTTGGGTGTGGATGGCACCTGACCAAAAAAATGAAAAACCGCGATGACAGCGAAACCAGGGTATCGGCAGGCGGCACAATAACAAACAATCGCACGTCGATATTTCTTAAGAGCGACCACATGAAACGAGCCAGAAATGTTACCGTGCTGGCAACAAGTTAGACATCTTAGCTTTCGTCATGATATTAACGTAAGAAGAGGCTTGAATGACGTATTACTTCCAGAAATCAACATTATTGGAACAAGATACGCATCGGTTGCATTCGGTTCAAGAATTCACCGGTACTAGCAACATGGTAGGCCGTAGACAAAATCCTCATGATAGTAAGACACCAATGGAAAATTCTAGAATTTCAACCGTGCCCGCAACAAGATGCACGCCGATTGCAGTCTTGTTTTCGCTACACACGTGGCGCATGCCATCGGTGCGGGGTCGAGCGAGATTTTGCATCACGACCTTCAGACCGAATGGGGCGTCCCCCTCCTCATCGGACGTAGCATACAGAAGCGTATCCGAGGGACGGCGGTTATCATGGCGTGACTATCATAGTGGAAGGACCCTCGATTCACTCGGCTATTCTTAGCGCGAGAGGACAGAAGCAGAGGCGAAAATGCACGAACTTCAACATGCAACGGGACGAATGCCCCCCCCCCCCCCCCCCCCCCCCCCCCCCCCCCCCCCCCCCCCCCCCNCCCCCCCGGTGTTTGCCATCGGGATTGGGTTTTCGTCGCTTGGCAACGACGTTGTAAAACAAACCAATTCACTTCGTGAACTCGGCAACTAGGTTTCCGTGTTTTTTTTTTACCTCTGGTTTGTTTTTGGCGGCAACCATGATGGTGGTCGAGTAGATTATGTTGTGCGGGGTCGAGAACCCGCACTCCTCGCAAGGGGGATGATCGCACCACGTTGTGTTAAAATGGTCAAGCACCATCGAGGCAGATACACAGTGCTTACAACTGTCTCTGGAAGTGAAGTACCAGAAAATAAGCCAAGTCATACGCTGCTGTCATTCGTACGCAAGGAAGTAAGCACAAGATGCCGAACACCCTTACCAGGATGCAGCGCACCCTTCATGCGACTCGCCGAATA